TGGTGCTGGGGGATTGAACCGCGGTCCCTGATGCTTTTGCTAAGCTTGTTCTAAGTAGGTGCTTTAGACCACTGAGCCATCTCTCCAGCCCACTGAGCCATCTCTCCAGCCCCATTCTTTGTTATTCTAGCTTACCTAGTATTTTCTCATCTCTGAAAATGATTTCCTTCACTACTTTTCCCAACCAATCTCCACCTTTTTTTTTTAACCTGTTCTTATTTCCTTTTTTAAAAAGTTAATTTTATTGAGAAACAAATAGCAATGAGAAAATTTCAAAACCAATTAGTAGGACAGTTTCAAAAATTAATACATTGCATGTTACTGTCTTTGTAGTGGTTACTCTTAGTACAAGATGCAGACATGATATCCTGTCTAAACACTAACAGTACAAATCTTTGTTCTCCTTGAATACCTGTTCTTATTTCATCCTATGTTTAGTTCTTTGTACTTACAAGCTTTACCATCTTATTTTTATTTTTTATTAACATTATTTTACTTATTTACAGTATAATCTTTGTAAGGAACAAGAGTATAATAGACCTGCCTTGCATATTCTGTTTACCCAGCTGTCTCTTTACTACTCTTAGTACATTATTTATAAAATAATACTTGCTAGGGCTGGCCAAATAGCTCAGCAGATTAAAGTACCTGCAAGCAGGTTTAGGGGCCAGGGGTTTGATTCCCAGGCCTGATGTGCCAGCCCCGCCCCTGGGGGTGCTGAGATGGTGACTGAGACTGGGCGTGGTGGCACACCCCTATGATTCCAGCTCTTGAGAGGCTGTAAACAGGTGGATCACTATGAATCAGATCTAGTAGTGAGACCCTGAACACCCTGTAGATCCTTCCCTAAAAATACAAAATAAATAAATAAATAAAATAAAATAATAATTGCTAATAAAAAGCTCTGTTGAATTCATGAAATGCATAGTTCTATTAGAAGTAAATTGCTGGGGAGGAGAAAGTACATCTATTTCAATGATCCTGAAAGTGTCGAGGAAAGGATGGATGTGTATCTATAGCAGGCTTTTTACCTTTAGGGCAGGAAGTTGCCTGCACCCCTTGATTCTTTCTCTGAGCTCGAACAAGTTCCCAGCCTAGGATTAATACATTAAGTGTAGACTAGAAGGTGATAGTATTTCTTTCAGATGGTGTCACAGCAGAAAAACAGAAAGAAGGTAAAAAGGAAAGGGGCTTTATTTATCTTTGAGGATGCAGAGAGAACCTGGGTAAAAAAGAGATTCTCTGAACTGGAACAAAGGGAGGCTGAGGTTTTTATGGCCTTTTGCCACGGGGTGGAGCTTGAGGGGTATAGATATACCTGAGGGGCTGATTGGGGCCTTCCCTGAGGTGGCTAGAAAGGTGAAAGGAAATTGCACCCTGGGCTGAGTTGGTGAAGATGTGGGGAGGTGGTCTCTGGGAAGATAAACCATTGTTTTAAGGGCTTCAGCCATGTTAGAAGACCACCACAATGATTCAGCAATTCATACTAGGGCTAAAACCTATCAGAAGGTATTGAAGACAGCTATTGAAATTTGAATATCTACTAGGAAGAATGTTGAAAATCCTGGAGGAAATCTACAAGGAATGCTGAGTGTTGGAGACCCTCACTCTAGATTAACCTTAAGGAGTATCACTGACAGATTTTCTCTAGCACTGCTCAGCAGTGTATGGATTAAGGAGAAATCAGCTTCAGTGAAACACTGTTGGAAGTTTAGAAAAAAGGAAGTTTGAAAAATAGATCAGAAGAAAGTTCTAAAAAGTTAAAGACTTGCAAGCAATAGTGAAAATGATTCAGGTGATTTAACAAATGTCTTTGATCAAGTAGATAAAGAAGTGAAATCAAAAGCATGCTAATTCCATATAATAAAAATGAGAGTTGAGGGAGTAAGTGACTCCATGTAGGTAAGAAGTACTCCTGAGACTCCACATGTGAAACAGATTATCAAAAGGTACACTTGGGGTTGGAAAAAATATGATAGAATAGCATAAGATGGATGGAAGTAATTCCACACCTCAAATGTGGATGGAGTTGGGGAGAGTGTGAAGAGTAGTGTAAGACCCTACAGACAGAATTTATCCAAGATTTTTAAATACCCATCAGCATCTTAGCTTCTTAAAGTCTGTAGTGTCTGGCTCAGCCTGCCCTGAGGGTAGGGCTGGCGCAGCATGTGGTACTGGGGATCAAACCATGGTGCCTGTGGTTGCCTAAGCTTGCCTAAGTAGGTACTTTAGACTGCTGAGTTATCTCACTGGTCCCAAGTCTGCAGTGTCTTGAAGGATGCCTTGAATATTTTATGGAATGTGTCAGGACCAAATGCCTCATTGATGGTAATAAATAAGGCCACTATGATCTTACTTGTGAATAAGTAGTGCCTAGCAGTTTAGGGCAGGTTGGCTGTATATATGGGTGATTACAGGCTGCAGACTGAGACGAAAGACCCACCCAGTTGTAGGTGGTACCAACAAAATGGGTTGGTATCTGGATAGAATAAAAGAGAAATAACAATTTTTTTTTTACTGTTTTCTTCTTTGGGGGAGCTCTTGTCTTTGCCCTTGCTTGCCTTTGGACATTTATCACCTGTTTCTTCAGACCTCCAGGGCAACTTATGCAAAAGGATGCACTGAGCTACAGACCTTCAACTTTTGACCTGACCCTCAGTCCTGCAGACTACAAATGGCCATTTTGCACTCTTCCACCCCTGATTCTGTGGTGGCCACTGGAACTCTTCAGCTTCTAATCCTATACGTCTACCTTGGAAAGCCTTTATATAATTATATGCATCTTTTTGTGTGTGTTAAATCTGTTCCTCTTGTGGCCCAAATACAGCCACCTAGATGCCATTAATAATCCATGCTCCTCAACAGCTTCCAGGTAACTAGGGAGAAAGTCAGACACAGGCAGACTATGCTCATGGGGAACATTATCTCATCCGGGTTATTTAAAAAATGTATTCATGGCATCATGACAGCCTAACCCAAGAAGAGCAACTTTATTGATGTCCTGCAGCAGAGTACATTAATAATTGCAGCCATGCATTATGGATGATTTCATTTCATAAAGAGTAATCAGTTTTCTTCAAGATACATTATGTTACTGTTGCACATAGTTTATCCCTTTGAAGGCCTACAGGTCTAGAACATTCCTTTCCCAAAGACTGTCTCCTAAGATGCCTGGGTCACCTTGGGTCATTCTGTACTTCATACTACCTAGCTCTGCCCTCACTGCTGAGCTACCTAGTGAGCATGCTGCCCAGCAGGGTCCAGAGTGCTACTGACAAGTGAGTGTGGGATTCTCTTTGGTTGTGGAACGTTTATATTTACAAAAAATATAGCTAGGAATATGCTTCTAAATTCTAAGGCATTTTGTGACAAACTTAGAAATATGCAATGTCCTTACAGAATTTACCCCCAGGCTGACTTCAGGTCTATTTCTTTGTCTGTTGGATCTAGCCTTAGTGTCAGGTTCCCAACTTAACAAATGGATTGGGTGCAGAAAGGTAACTGACCTTGAGGTGCTTGGGGTGGGCAGCGGTGAGCCCAGACTCAATGCTCTCCGTGGCTTTGAACTCACTGAGCGCCTGCACAGGGTTCACATGCTTCTTCTGCGATGCCCTCTTGATCTTGGCCTGTGTCTCGTCCTGCTCCTCTCTCTTCACCAATGGCTTCTTCTCAGGGGCCTTCATCTTCCATGACACAGCAGGAAAGTTGAGGGAAGCCATGCCCTGCGACTTCTGGGATTTGGTGGTGGCTGCATAGGATGCCGTCACTGTCTGTACCGCAGCATTCATCACAGTCAGAGCTTGCTTTTTCTTCCAGCTTCAAATGCAAATTTCATCCTTGGGCTCACTCTGATGATTACAATGTTTCCTACGTCGGGTTTGCAGCTGAAGCCTGACAGTAGCTTTTGCCTGGGCAACAATTTAGCCTTTACCTTATTTGTGATTACTATAGCTATAAACTATAATTTTGCTGTCTTATTTAAATTTTATGAACCTGAATTTTTTTTTACACTAACTTTTCTCAGTGAAGTCCACTATGAAGCTGAATAAATAAAGAATGTGTTTAATTAGCCAACCCCTACTTCCGTTTTGCCTCTTCTGAAAACTGGAGCTGACTGCTTAAAAGTCAACTGCTTTTTAAAAAATATTCTCTACACCTATGCAGAATGTACATACTAACAAGAGTCATGTATCTTTAAGTTCTTTACCTCAATCAACAAGTGTTTATTAATAAAATAAAGCTGTGTCAGGTACGACTTTACAGTAACAGCAGACTGAAGAAAGCACAAGCCACTACATAATTCTCAATGAAATTATAGCAGGTAGGTGACTGTTACATGACAACAGTAAGAATAATAGCCAGTACATGTGCATAATGATTTACAAGTTAATGCTCCTCGCAACAAATCCTGGAGGCATCTTTAGTTCTTATTTTACGGTTGAGAAAACTATGCTCTAAAGATGTCAGTAACGTGGCTAGGACCTGTGGTTTTTCCTCGCCTCAATTTTCCAGTAACTGTACCTTAGGGGGTACTGTGTCACGAGGCCAGCTCAGTTCTGCTCAGCAGAATGGTGCCAGGGGTAGGATCTTAGCCTGGCTTGGTTGCCCACTTAACACCCAAGAACTGGAGAGATGTGCGGATAGGTCCAAAGGGGAGACCGCTCCACAAGGAGCCACGCTTCTACCTTGGCTCCACAAGGTGGCAGCCACACTGCTGTGAGTTGCTCTGGACATGGCTGTGGCTTTAAGTGGCAGAAACAGGAAGGAGGAAAGCAAAGTGATGTTGTTTTAGTGTTTAAAAGGATGTGTATATTCTTGTATGCATGTGCTAGTGTATTTATAGAGGAGAACCAAAGAAGTAGTAGTAGTATTATTGTACTCCATACTGTATTTTATATGTTTGAACTGTAATGAAAGAATTTGATATCTGACACAGACTGTACTGTATTCTCTTACCCTACACCAGCAACCTCACCCTTGTGTTCTATTTTGCTACCTGCGTATTGCATGATGTTCAAGATGATCATTTTGTCCATTGTACAATTGGTTATTCTTTCAGAAGGAAATTTCCTGGGTTCCGTGTGCTAGTAACTGTGGCCGCGCTTGCAATTCCTTATTCCTGAAGCTGGCCACAATGTATTATTAGCTGACAGAAAGCAAACCAACTATCAGTATCACAAGGGAAAGGAGTTTTATATACACTGAATGATTGAAGGAATTGAAGACACCCGATGCTCCCCGGCTTGTTGGTAATCAACATAGTGAATTTTGGCCATGGGATAAAGAGTTAAGAGTCCCTGAGGAGAGCACTCCATCTCAGAAAGGATTAGTGGTCAGGATTGAAGACTTGGACTATAGACTCCATGCTGATGCTCAGGAAACCTCGGGCCCCACATGCAAGCCAAGGTCCCCATCATGGCGATGGGTGCTCTGCTCTAGATTCTTTCTCCCCTGGAGGCAGCTGCTTTTCTTCAGGCACTGGGGGTAACTCAGGCGCTTTCTGTCCACACCTCGCCACTGTGAAGCGACTCATGTGAAGGGCTTCCTCGTAGCCTGGAAGAGTGTCTAACGAGGAGGGCTGCTGGCCCAGGGAGCTGTGGGAGGGAGCCATGGCCAGAATTCTCCGAGCTGCAGAGCCAAACACTGACTGCAGGGCTGTGAGGGAGGAAGAGGCAGAGCTGACTCAAACATGTTTTCAGACCTCAGATGCTTAACATTGCTCTAGGCCCTTACATGGAGTCCAAACTCCTTGACATACCCTGCCACAAAATATACAAAAATCCCATGAAGCTTAATTATCTATGCTTCAGGTTCTGCTAGAATCATTTGTCTTCTCTGGTGTATTCGAATAATCAGCACTGTGTTCCCGTATCTCACTCCATACCCTTCCTCTAGATCCCTTTACACCCACCTACGCATATCACAGACTCCAAGCTTTATGCTTTCTCTAAAATGAGGTGAGAAAAGGGAGGTAGGAAAGGTAAACAACAGCATGCTATATTGTACTGTTTTCAAAGTAAATATTGCAGTGTTTTGCTATTTCCTCTTCCACCTTGTATTTATGATCTAATTTTAGTAATGAATAAGGATCGAAGGGATGCTGATGTAGAAAACTGAATGTACCAACACTGGGAGGATACAGAACTAAAAGTACACAACACTCATTTCTTTAAAAATACAAAACAATACAGACTACAGAAAATTTTGGTGTTCACAAAATTTGAGACATTTTGAGAGCTATGTTTAGCATTTGAAAATAGATTATAAAGCTATTTAGAAGCTTATAAATAAATTTAGTTTATGATAAGGGTTTATCGGGATAATAAGTAGGGAGCTAGATCTTTCTCAAATGTGAGGAGGAGATGGAGGGTGGGGAGAACAGAGAGGGGAGGGAGGTGAAGAAAGGAATGAAGATGTGCTGTGTACGCAAGCCAGCTGCATGCAGGGAAGTAATCTCTATGTAGTGCACAGAGGGACTGATTGATTGATTGATTCATTGATTGATTGATTGATTTTTGCAGTACCAGGGATTGGACTCAGGACCTTGCACTTGCTAGGCAAGCACTTATTTTACTGAGCTATCTCCCTGGTCCCATGGGTTATTAATACAAGACAGAAATAAAACAAAATACTCTAAACTGTGTACTTCTCCCTATAAAATGTTTCCAACATTGTCTCTAACTTTCCACTTCTTTCTTTATACTGTCACCAGCCAGACAAATGTTTGAGAAGATTTGAGCACCAGTAAGATCCCAGATCAAAGGGCTATCCAGATAGCTCAGTGGACTAAAGTGCCTGCTTAGGCAGAGCACAGCGGCTGGGGTTCAATCCCTGGTGTGCTGTGCCGGCCCCACCCCCAGGGCATGCTGAGATGGCCATTGAGACTGGGCAAGGTGGTACACGCCGGTAATCCTAGCACTTGGGAGGCTGAAAACAGGAGAATCACTATGAGTCCAATCTATGTAGTAAGACCCTGTAGACCCTATAAATCCTGTACCAAATACATTAAAAAAAATCCAGATCAATAATCCATTAGTTTTCTGGAAATTAAAATAGTTCTGAGTCCTAGAAGCTGTAAGGTTATTCGATCAGTGTTACAATCCCTGTATGGTCTCCTAATCGTTCATTTCAACCCAGGTCTCTTCCCCGTGTCAGGTTAGTGTACTCACAAGTAATGGTGTTCTGGAGGGTGTCGTGGTCAAAAGCAATGACAGTCACTTCATAGGGTGGCTGGCCTTCGTTTTCCCCATTTTGCTGGCGAATGAGACAGCAGCGGAAGCACAGTGAAGTTAGGCCACAGAGCAGGATCAGGGCACCAACTACCACCAGCAACCTGTAGGAGCCCAAGAGTAGGAAACTCAGACCTGGCTTGCTTCAGCACTGGCATCATCTATCTTTAATGTCTGCCTTTCCACTCTTGCTGACATTTTACATTAAAAAAAAGATTCTAACTCACTTATACATATATACTTCCTTATTTGTTAGTAGGACTAAGCAATTGACTAGAATATATGAGATAATTAAGATCATTTGCAGGAGCTGCTTTCCACTTAGTACTGAGGTACAATTTGCAAAGATATTTCTTGAGCAGAACCCATGAGGACATAAAAATCTTTTGGTCTCAATAGAGGAGACTGCATTCAAATAGGATACAACTAACGTCTTAGAGATTAATGACTATGAAAGTAACTATACTCCAGGAGGTACTAAGTAGGGAGATTGTCTCAAATATTTTCCCTGTTCTCTCTCTCTCTCTCTCTCTCTCTCTCTCTCTCTCTCTCTCTATATATATATATATATATATATATATATAATCATATATAGTATATATGATCATAGTATATACAGTGTATATGATCATAGTATATATTATATTATATATGTACTGTATATAGTATATAATTAATGAGCTTGTAAAATAAAATACCTTGTTGGGTATTGCAAGTGACACTTACCATATATACCACAGATGTACCCAGTCTGTGGTCAGGCAGCTATGGAGAAAAATAAAGTTTATTTCAGTAAAAATCCCAAATGTGAGTTACAATATAAAATGATGCCATTATGATAACGGCCACTAAGACTATAATTTTTCAAGTTCTAGGTCATGAGCTAATTCTATTACGAAATGATGAAAATAGTATTTTATGCCATGCATGATATGATATGGTGCAAATTATTTTGTAAAATCACTATAAAAGAGAAAATCATAGTGATCATATAAAGTGTTAATAGAAAAGAGAACTATGACTGTTGCAAATAATTATGAAGGAATTTGCCAAAAATAATTTGGAACATCTATCTATCTATCTATCTATCCATATTTTTAGGGAAGGGTCTACAGGGTGTTCAGGGTCTCACTACTAGATTGGATTCATAATAATCCACCTGTTTACAGCCTCCCAAGAGCTGGGATTACAGGGGGGAGTCACCACACCTACTCTCAAATGCCTCCTCAGCATGCCTCAGGGGCGGGGCAGGCACAGCAGGCACGGGGATCAAACTTTAGGGCCCTGTGCCTGCTTTCAGGCTCTTTAATTCACTGAGCTATTTGGCTGGCTCTGGAACATATTTCTACAGAGTGAATTGGCCACATGCTGAGCTGGACCCGTCGTCAGGCATGCTCAGCTGGCCACTAAGTGCAGGCGTGGTGGCACAGGCCTGCAATCCCAGCATTGGGGAGGCTGAAAACAGGAGGATCACTGTGAGTCCAAGCTGTGTAGTGAGACCCTGTACCAAATACATAAATGAAAAAAAAAAAAAAAAAGAAAAGAGTGAATTGGGAAATTGATATGAAAACGTTTGTATATATTTGAGATCAAAAGAATGCAAACAGGACATTTCAGTTAAAAGCAGGAAAGTCATCAAGTTTATGTTTCACAAGCTCTTGCGACACCCTTACATGAAAACTGCCACATCCCTAATGCCCATGGGCACTGAGACCAACCAGGGAAGGGGAAAAAGTTCCCTATGATGAAAGCTAACTAAATACTCTCACTTACGCTCTGGCAACTGTAACTTTCCCTGTAGGGGGTTGAAAGCTGAGGATTTCATGGAGGAAGCAGCATAGGAATAGAGGGAGGGTAAAGCAAAGTATTTGCATATTTTATAGATTAGTAACTTCAGTTCTTTACTGACACCTTATAATACTTCCATCTTTTTTTTTTTGTCTTTATCAGACAGTGTCTCACTATGCCTGTATTCATCTATTGAAATCTATTCCTATGCTCTTTTTTTTTTTGCCACATATTTATAGAAAGAAGTATTTGTTTTTTTCATTGAACCTTTTATACCTATGGATTTTTTTTTTTTTCATTCATCGTGTGTTCAAAACCCTTTAGTTTTACACTAGATTCTGGTTCTATAGGAAAGGACTTCCCTGTAGTGATAGGCTGTCTAAAACCTAAAGCCTCGCACAATGTCAAGGAGCCCGAGTCCAAGGTGCATGTGTGTTGCAGGTGCTCTTCTCTTATTGCTGGGACAAATACCCGACCCTCAAAAGTAGGGAAGGAAAGCTCACAGTTGGGTGGAGGTTTCAGCTCATACTAGGCTGGCTCCAAGGCAGAGCGGCAGATGGCAGAGAGCAGCCTTTCTTGGCCTGGAGAGCAAAAGGAGGGGCACCTGCTCAGGCAGTTAGCTAGCTTCTCTCTCCTTACACTGTAGTGGAAATTACCTGCCCCAGGGCAGGTGAAGCATATACACCCACAATAATCAGTCACAGACTCCAGAAGCCACACCATGACTGCATGAGGCTTGGGGGAGCACAGCTAGACACAACCATAACGGTGTGATAAGTAATCAAGGTTAGCACTGCTTCCGTGACTTAATACGTGGTTTCTTTCAGCCTGAACAAATCTTTTTTCCTCTTTTCTTTTCATTTTTCTTTCGTTCCTTCCTTTCTCCCTTCCTTTCTTCCCTCTTTCCTTCCTTTTCCTTCCTTCCTTCCTTCCTTCCTTTCTTCCTTCCTTCCTCCTTTCCTCCCCTCATTCCTTCTTCCCTCCTCCCTATTCCTTCCTTCCTTGTTTCCCCTTCAATACTGGGGCTTAAACTCAGAGCCTCATGTGTAAGTATTTTTCTTTATGTTCTGCATGACTGCATGAAACTCATTTGTGACAGCCTCAGTTTATAGAATAACTCAGTCAAAATGATAGATCAATGAATTCTGCAACAAATATTAACTTCCCTAAGAACTGGACATTGCTTTTTGAATTTCAAGTAGGCATTCTCCTTTGGAAATCACCTAAGCAGATAAGCCAGTGACTAGATAATGAATCCTGTCTGGCCTGCTGAGTCACAGAGAAGCAGGGCCAGGAAAGCCTTTTGCAAGTCTCTGACTACATAAATCGAGACGAATTGTGCTGCTTTGTTTGGAAGATGAGCTTTGGAAAAAATGCTGTCAGCAATATTATTTTGAGTACATAGAATGACACGTATATGTCTGTGACAGTAGGCAGCTGTCCACTTAATTAGCAAAAAAGGGAAGTTATGGTGCTCTAATGACCTTTTGACCTGTGTTTGAATATTGACATTCTGTCTGTTTTTCCTCCCAGCTCAAACTTCTAGGTACTCACTGTTCGGGATTCACACAGCTCTCCTCACATCGCGCTCCAGGAAGCTGCAGGAAGGGAAATAGTCTCAGACAGGGAAATCGTCTTACCTACTGTGGCCAGCGGCCTCGCAAGCAGAGCTCGTGGCTGTGGTGTGAGGAGGCACGTTCATAAGGTCAGGCTCTACTCAGGACTGTGACTTGAGACGCTTATCACTCCCTGCTTGCTGATTTGGAGCCAGAGAACTTGGAAGAGATATTTATCTCACCTGTAGGGATCTGTTTGTTTTTAACAGTGAATGAATCTTCCTGCCTGTGAGTGAAAGGCAGCACTTTATAGCAATTTGTTTATCCTGGAAATTTCCATACGTGTCCTTCAAAGTGTTTTGTTGGTGCTCATTTCTGTGTAGTTCTGGACTGAATTTTTCCTCATTGCTCTTTTTTTGCCCTCAATACATCAAATATTAGCATACAAGACAAGAAGCGGGGGCTTACTGAATAACTTAGGCGTGCTAATCAGACTATTAATTTGTAGCATTGCATAACATATTTCTTTATAATAATCCTGTAGGTGGGTATCTTTAATCTCAGTTTGAAGGGTAAAAAGAAAAAGGCAGAGGGATGAGTAATGTGACCAGTGACATGCACCCATTGATGTAGCCAGAATTCAAGTCTGACTGTACCACTGTGACTATGTGCCGAATGAATTAATACAAACTGATGACAAGTTTGATCCCACAGTCCCTTGATGGTGCCATCATTCCTTTCCATTCCTCATAAACAAGAGCAACAAAACAAAATAAAAAAACTCTTCCACTCCATCTATCTTATATCTCAGATGACTTCCTCCTTGAAAGACCCCTTTAGACGCAAACTTTATTTTCAGGAGCTGTTTCAGTCTTCCAAAAATTTAAATGACCTAAGTTTTCAGAAATGCAACAACATTCTGATGTTGATAGGACAGACAGTTGTATCTATTTTATGCTGAGAAGGAGAGGAGTGGAGGACCTGTGTGTTCAAAGTGTATCAGGTAGAAAGAGTTTGCAAAAGGACTAGGAGCCACCCTCAGCAGGTGGCATCGGAGACACTGCAGGTTATTGCTTTTGTTTTTACTTGAGAACTTCCCAAAAGAAAGGCCCAGCTGTTTGTTTCCTGGGCACACCCCTGATCCTTTGCTTCACTTTCTTCACTAAAGTTAAAAGAAATCTAAGATGCTCAGCAGATATTTGCGACCCCTCAGAATGCTTGCAGATAGAGGAAAAGAGAAGTAAAGGGAGGAGAAGGAAAAGGAAGAGAAACAAGATAGAAAAAAATACAAGGCAAAAAGAGGACTTTAAGATTCTGATTACTGACAATTATGAAGCAAAACAGCCAGCTCTGGACAGGAGTGTGATATAATCCAGCTTGTATATTTGCTGCGCGATTTTGTTAGATTTTATGCTTATATCCTGGATCATTCTGATGATGGTCTAGAATCCTTCAGTCTGATGATCCCTTTCTCAACAAAGGGATTTTTTTTTTTTTTCCAACTATGAGATTACTCACAGGCTACTGATTCACAGTGGGAGAAATAAAGGATCCAAAATATTTTTAAAGAGTCCCCCACTTTCACCCACCTGGAAATTGCACTTAGAGATTTATCAGTCCATTTTTAAAAATTGAGATAGGTTCTAATTTGCTCTGATTGAGACCAAACTTGTGCTCCTCCTTGCCTACACTTTCCAGGGGTCGTCCCTCTGTTACCTCTGGAATGCAGGCTCCTATGCTGGTAGAATCATACTAGAGCTGATGTAGGAAATTCCAGTTAGTGGAATTGTGTGTAAATTATCCCAAGTAGAACTTATTTGGGATTTTGAGGAATAGTGGTAATATACTCAATGAGAGAAAAATAATTCTCACTTCTAAAATGCTCTAGCTGGCCGAGGAGATAGCTCAGTGGTCTAAGCACCTGCCTGGCAAGTGCAAGGACCCAGGTTCAATCCCGGGTACCACATGCCCACTGTGCGGGCCACCGAAACTGGGTTGGTAGCGCATTCCTGTAATCCCAGCTCCGGGGAGGCTGAGATAGGAAGATCACTACAAGTCCAAGCTATGTAGTGAGACCCTGTACCAAATAAATAAATAAATGAATAAATAAATAAATAAGTAAATATTTTAAATGCTGTAGCTCTCCTACAATTCTCTATGAGTGTGTATGTGTGTGTGTGTGCGTGCCTAAACCCTGGGCCTCCACACTGATCTACAGCCCAAACCCTTCTTTAAAAAGTCTTATTTATTTGTTTGGTACAGGGTCTCGCTGTGCAATTCTCGCAGTGCCCCACCACGCCCGGTTTCTGGCCAGCATAGCTCCGGGGCCAGTGTGGCATGCCATACCAGGGATCAAAGCCCGGTCCTTCTGCTTGCCAGGCACCAAACCCTTTCTATTAATTTTTTTTTACTATGTGACAAGCTCTCACTGAATTGCACACGCTGAGCTCAGACTTCCTTCCTCATCCTCCAGAGTGCTGGCTTTGCAGATGATCATCGCCACACCCGGCTGACTGCGATGTCTGTCTCTCTTTTTGTGAGCGTTAACATTAGTCACATGTGTTACCCAGCAATCCCACAAAATTAAGAGACTAAGGCACCAACTCCTTTCCTCACTACTTCCTAGATTCTGTATTTTTCTTTCTACCTCATCCATTTTCTACAAGATTCCTCTGAGAGCTGATGGACCTGAAAAAAAAAAATGCCTTCTCCATCCTGCCTTTGCACGGCTGCACTCACCTGAATGAAACAGGCCAGAACAGAGGCCGTCAGGATCTGGGCAGGAATCACTCCCATCGGGCTGGACACCTGCTCCCGCATTACACACTGGGTATCCGCGGCCTCTTCTCCATCCTGTGCGGCACGTGTGACTTCTTGATCTACAATTCTTAAGGAGAGAAACTTTTCTCATCAATAAATCAGATTTTCCTTCTGTCGCTTCCTCTCCCTCTGACTTTTGTTTTTGACAGTACTTCTCTTCTCTTTCCTCCTGGCTTCCTGCTCTATATTTCTGATTTTATTGAGTCTGCATTTGTTTCCTTTTGCCCTTTTCTATCCTGCTATTAGCACTTTCTATGTTTTCATTTTTTTCCCCCTTGCCTGTTCCCAATACGAAAACATTCAAGGAAGACACATTTGCCCTTTAAGTTAGATGGTTTCCTAATCATTGATGAGAAGCCTGGCTTTGAGGAAGGCCAAAGGCAGATTGGGGATGAACAGATATGTTCTTGTCTTCATCAGAAAGCAGGTAATGCTGCTTGGTCCTTTATCACTGGGTTCCAGGGTGATTGTTGGAGGTTGAAAGTCACCCTGCCAATCTCCTTTCACCCCCTATTCATGTGATTAACGCTCCCCCTCCTTGGTCTTTGCAGCTCTACCTTTACTATGTTGATAATCAACTCTCCTGGTTCTGGGTCATTTATTCTTAACCACTGAAGTAGAATTGAGCAGCTGCCAAATGAACTGGAAAGCCGTCCCATCTTTAGGATGAGGAGATTTGAAAACGAGAACTTCCAGGTGATTTCAAACATGGTCTCCTTTAGTCTGACTTCAATTTCCATTGAAACAGAAAAGCCAGACGTGCAAACATATGTTTCAAAACTGGCTTCCAAGATGTATGAATTTTTTTGTGTATGTTTTTATTATTTGCCCTTGTTTCTATCCTTTCTTCTCTCCCCTTCCCTATCTCTCCTCCTCCTCCTCCTCCTCCTCCTCAGGCTTCCTCCATCTTGTTCATCTTTGCTGGTAAAAGAGTGTTGTGATTGAGAATACAACCAGTTCTTCAGCAGCTAGGTGCAGTGACATGCAACTGTAGGCCCAGGTATAAGGGAGATTGAGGCAGGAGGATCACTTTAGCTTAGGGTTTTGAGACCATCCTAGGAGACAAAATGCGACCCCAATCTTAAGATAAAGAAAAGATAAAGAAAGGAAAAAGAAAATCTTGTCACTCTAGAAAATAAAATCTAAGGTCACAGAGAAAAAAATAATAAGCACATGTGGAAGGAATCTGGAATACTTGAATATATCTATTGGAATGAATGGAGCAGTTATACTCAAGTGGGTAATCTTACTTAATTCAAGGTATTTGGCAAGAATATTAGATATTTAGTCTACAATTATATCAGTCTCATCAGAATGGAGTAAAACCAATTTGGTGTTTTTTTAACTCTGAAAGGTAGTTATTGAAGAAACTGGTGGTTGGGACTAGTCACGTTCCAGAAGGCTCTCACACAGCATGACTCTGTGCTATGAAAAGGGAAAACAGAAACATTTTCTCTTCACGTAAAGAAACCAAAGAAGAACAGAATATCCTGCTAAGATATTGATCATTATAATTTATTTCTTTCAAAACTAAGTGAATAGTGATGTCTTTCAAAGTAAAGTTAATGCAGTTAAGATGAAGAATGTTTTCCAAATTAAATAAAAACTTGGCAAGGTGAAAGGTATTATATATGACAAGAAGACCAAGACTTTAGTTATGACTCCTCACTAAATAATTATGTAGTTTCCCTTGTCATTTCCCACTCGTAAAACAGGAATTAAGTGCCTACTTGGCCTGTATTAGATGTGATTTCATAGAGAAAATAAAATGAAAGACAAGAAGTGTTTCTCCCTTTCCTTACTATGGGCTGAAGTGAGGGAATGCCGAACTATGTCTTTAGCCCCTCTGCTTTTCAGTACTGGGGTTCATTTTCAGGGTGCCCTATCACTGAGCTACATTCCCAGCCTCATTTCTATTGGTATTTGACACAGGGTCTTTTTAAAGTACCTTGACTGGGCTGTAACTTATGACCTGCTGTGTCAGGAGATGCTACTATTTTAGATGATTACCTGGCTCTGTGTGTGTGTGTGTGTGTGTGTGTGTGTGTGTGTGTACATGTGTGTATGGGTTCACATGTGTGTTGGGAACTAAAATTGAATATGGGCTCACCCTTGCTAGCCAAGTACTCTACAATTGAGCTAAACTGCTAGCAGAACCTTTTTTATATTTTTATTTTGATAGAGGATCTTAATATATTAACCAACTTGACTTCAAACCTTCAATCTTCTTGCCTTATTCTCCTGAATAGGCACGGGGGATTATAGGCATGTGCTGTTGTGCTTATCAAGAAGGAATTTTGAGTAGATTATTTCTATTCTATAACACATCCCTGGGAAGCATCATCAACATTTCTCCTCTCTTTTACTTGTTAGAGAAACAGTAAAACATCCTGGCTAGAGACCAGGCTTGGTAGTGCATGCCTGTAATCCCAGTGCTGGGAAGGCTGAAAACAGCCAAGCTGTATAGAGAGACCCTGTACCAAATACATTTAAAAAAAAATCATGGCTAACCACCTAGCTAGAATACCTGGGACTAATAACTTCCTTTTTCACTTATTAGCTGTGTGATCTTAGAGAAGTTTTATGGCAATGTTCACTTCACAGACTTCAGAAGAATAAATAAGTTACTATATGTACAATTCAAATAATAGTCCCAATAACAAATTTTATGTTATCTAAGATGATTTCCTTTTTAATTATATTTTGCTAATGATCCCCTTTTAAAATGCTGGATAACCAGTGTGTACATTGTTACAGCAGGCCCTCCCTCTCTAGACCATCTTAGCTTTTCTAATACAGCTCTCTGGTTCTTGCATATTTTCCTTTGCTAACTGCCATCTGTTTCCCAGCCAAGCCAGCCTCCACCGGCACCAGCAGGTCTACATTACCAGGACTTTCCCCCTTGTTGCGCTTTCCTCTTGTGTGACCGCCATCACCCTCTTTGCCCTCCAGCTTCCTAATAGGTTTGAACAAAATAGGTTTCCGTTAATGACTACCTTGTTTTTCTTTCTTAGAATTACTATTACCATTTGTGTTTTCTCACCGGACTTTTACCTGGGAAAATAAGCCTTCTTTTTTGTCCTAATGAAGGTACTTATGCCTTGTGAGGATGTTAACCAGAGGGTCTCTTCAAGGCTTGATTAGAGAGAATTCAGACGTGAAGACTGCAAAGGATATACATGGGTGGGGACAGAGGAGATTGACCTCACTGTAACCCAACAGAACCCTGTGTGGTTCCATTAAACTGTGATTCATTAACTTGTGCCCACAGTGTTAAGGACTTAGATTGGAATCAACAGAAGGTGCATGAATAAGACCTTTTCACCTACACCTTGGGAAATTGTTGGACAAGCTCTGAAACAAATGGTTCCTTTGTTACTTACTTACTGATTACTTGCTTTTGGTTCCTTTGATTATTTGCTTTATGTTCTTTACTAAGCCAGTTGGCGCACCATGAATTCCCTTCCTCTCTCTCTGCCTCAGTGAAATAGAAGCTAAGACTACTATTACTCTGAGGCATCAACATGAAGTGACAAAGATTTGAACAGTGCTTAGGGCCAAAGTCATTGCTTCAAGGCTCGATGAGATGACAGAAAAGGTCCATTCCATTTTTAAACTACTGTGAGTTGCGACCTCAGAGGCATGGAAATTTTGTTAGAGGGTTAGGTTTAAAGAATGAAGCCAGACAGAGGCATTCAGCAGATCCGAGATGCATTAGCTTTGCATGTCATGGTTAGGATTGTGCCTAGACGTTCCCCTAAAGCCTCCTATGCTCCTAAGTGTGGCTTTTGGGAGGTTGCTGCATATGGGATGCGTGAATACAGGTTATGGGTGTGTGGTACTAAATTAGACCACTGATTAGTTTAGTGTACTTCTGGGTGAGGCTGAGTGGATTTTACCAGAGACAAGAGCTCCACCCTGGGAGTTGGTGGTACCAGCCAACAGGCTTGTAGCCTGAATGGGATAAACGGGAAAGAGAGGCTGTGTGCTGCCTGTCTTGCTCTAACCTGTTTCTCCCCCGCCATGCTGTCCTACATCAGTGATAGCCAACAAGGGACTGCAAACTTTATGAACTAAAAGAGCTCTTTCCTTCTTGAAATTTGGATGTTGGGTATTTTGTCTTAGTAATGAGAAAATTAACTAATACAGTCATGTAACTCAGAAGCACAAAATAGGCGAGCAGCAATATAAACAGTTTATCTCATAGTGTCTCCATCAGAAACATACACACAGGGCCCGGGGAGATAGCTCAGTGGAGTAAGTGCTTGCCTGGCAAGTACAAGGTCCTGAGTTCAGTCCCTGGTGCCACCACCAAAAAGAAAGAAAGAAAGAAAGAAAGAAAGAAAGAAAGAAAGAAAGAAAGAAAGAAAGAAAGAAAGATGAACACAGATGAACTGTGTCCTTTGCTTAGGGTCTCAGAAGGCTGGAATCATGCTGGTTGGGCTGCATTCTTATGGAAAGGCTCACCTGGGGAAGGATCCATGCACAAGCTCCTGCTGTCAAGACGCATTTCTTTGGAGCTGTGAGATCAGTACATGCTTGCTTTTTGAGGTCTAAATAGAGAGATATAGGAGAGGTAGAAAACAGCATGTTGGCTTACAGGAGAGGTGTAAAAAAATGGGGAGTTATAATCAAACTTCTCTAGAAAAGCAGAATAAAATGTGTACAAATATGTAGAAAGGAATGTATGGCTATAGGATCTGACAAGTGGACATCTCCTGGGCATGCCAGATAATGACAGTCCAGGAGAGTGAGTGTTACGATTCCAGTGATAGGGTGAATTCTCCGAAGAGTAAACTGTGTGTTGTTTCAGTCTAAGGCCATCTACTGGATAAATTTTTCCTTACTAGGGAGGTTAGTTTTTTTGTTTGTCAAGCTTTCATTCTTTGCATAAGCCCGCCCACATTATGGATTGAAGTCTCTTTCATTAGAATAATGCACGTGTTAAGCTCATAGCTGAACACCCTACCTCGGGCACCCCATAGCCTATGCCAGCCAACAAATAAAATTCACCACCACTGACGTAGCTGTTTAATATTGAATTTCGGTCGGAGAAGATAAAAATGTTCAGAAAGTAGATTATAGTAATGGCTACCTGATATCGTAAATGTATTTGGTGTCACTTTGATCCGTATACCAGAAATGGTTAAAATTGCAACCGCTTTAGGGGATCTAAAATAATTAACTTATTGTGAGAATGAAAAATTGCCATTTTCATTGTGATGCTATTCTGCTATTCATTAATTCATTATCATGAGGCATTTCCTGAGATTCTACTTGAGTGACAAACTTGATGATTGCAGAGATGTGTCTGACGCATGCAGGGCCTGATTTCCTGGTACTCACAGCCACGGGACCTAGAAAGGGCTTTGGGTGATAAAGATCACGTGACCTTTTTTTTTTTCCCGTTAATTAATGCACTTTTAGTGCACGTTTTCAGTGCATAAGATTACATTCATCATGGGGAGTTTGCATGGGGACACAGGTAGTCTTCTCAAAAGCTGACTTGGCAAACACCTATTTGCTGCATGGTGAGTTCTGGTGGACTGTGCTACAGAGTAAAACGTTAAATGAGAGATAAAGCATTTTCAATTTGGGACTGGATATTTTGCACAGAAAAAGAGTCCAGAGAACATAGGGCTGGCCAAATAACTCAGCAGATTAAAACATCTGCAAGCAGGTGTAGGGGCTGGTGGTTCAATCCCTGGGCCTGCCGCTGAGACAGCAGTTGAGACTGAACGTGGTGGTGCATGCCTGTAATCCCAGCACTTGGGAGGCTGTAAACAGGTGGATCACTATGAGTCCGATCTATTAGTAAGATCCTGAACACCCTGTAGACCCTTCCCTAAAATACAAAAAAAAAAAAAAAAAAAAAAAAAGAAAGAAAGAAAAAGAAAAGAAAGAAAGAAAGAAAACAGGAAGGAGGAAATGTAATTCTAATCAGACTCTGAACTTTGGTGATTTTTCCCAGCTGATTACCTAAAAACTTTATGTATTTGTTAATTTTATAATCTTCCATTATTTAGCATCTCCTTTTAATTTTTCCTGTAGTAGCTCAAGGCAGGTTTCAGGTATTGCATAATTTTGCACATAAATACTTCAGAAAATATCTCTTTATAGATTTTTTTTTTAAAGTACGTGTAACTTTAGCGATTATTTATTTTCTGGCCATAAGATTGGGAGGTGAAAAAATAGGTGAAGATTCTATCTGTACACGTGCATAGATATACATATAAGGATCCGATGGAAGAGTCTTTGCCACCTGAGGCAATGATGGGTCAGCCTAGAAGGAGGTCTCTTCTAGGTTGTTTAAAAGGGGTGAATATTACTACTAATAGTTGTGACTATTGTTTATGGAGTTCTCATTATATTCCAAGGACAATGCTTGGCTTATATACTCATAGTATCCCAAATTTATATAAACAAAGACATAGATTATGTGTTAAAGGACAAAAGACCAGGACAAAAGACCAAGGGAAAGATTTGAACTAGGTGTCTAATTCCAAAGGCTCTCTGCTGCTGTGTTGCACTGTCATTGTACAAAACAGTACATCGCTTTGAGTGCTAACATTGCCCAACACTTAAAAAAATCATCTGGAACTCACCTCAAATTCCTAAGTCTTTTGTCACTTAAAACAGTGACTATTAAGAGGAAAAATCTGTGACTCATCAAAGACACCATGAGAAGAAAATGTGCCCCGAAGAAACTAACAAAGGTGAATGTTGAAATCAGGCGATCTGACCCTAATGATCGCTCTTGTGCAACTCGAATATAACTTACTCTATTGAATTTCACTTTCATATCTGATGCGTGGAACAGTGCATTTTCTTTCTCATAGAAAATATAGTTTTCCCTTTCCAAAAAAAAAAAAAAAAAAAAAAACCAACTTTGTGAAATATCATGAAACAGCATCAGAATCACTACTTTTTCCACCTGAAATAGACAAAGGCCAAGAGTTTGCCTCAGCCAACTTCCCAGTATGAAGCAAGGCATCCCCTTCCTCCTGGCGATGATTGAGTCATTCTCTTAGTAGATAACAGCAGCTATTTAAACACTCTAGCAGAAGCTCACATATTTGCAGCTTGCTGAAGATCTTGCCTGCTTCTGTCTCATTCTCAGCAGGAATTTAGAAATGGCTTCTGATGCTCTCAGAACGAAGCCTCTGAAGAACCAGACAGACCAGAACTTAACTGGAAAGAAAACTAAAGGTACCAGGGGTGGGTAACTGTGGGCAAGGATGAACTTTCAGTGGTAGCTCAAAAAATGTGGATTTCCTGGATGATTAGATTAGAAAACTAAAATACCCCCCAAATCAGAAAATATAGGCGAGAGCTGGGGAGATAGCTCAGCTGCACAGTGCCTGCCTGGCAAGGGTGAGGTTGTGAGTTCAAGTCCAGATACAAAAACAAAACAAAACAAAACAAAAAAAAATATAGGAGAATTAATGCCACTTACTTAAATAAAAGCAATGGGGTTATAATTGTGATGGTGATGATAGCTAACTTGTCCTTTTTACTTTAAGTAGTTCCTTTCTCAATCACAATGCATGATTTCAATGAATCTTCACGAGTGCCACTTTGAAATTGATGTTTTATTACTCCCTTTTCCAGAAGATTAACTTGAGATTCAGAGAATTAACAAAAATCCAGTTCAACAGAGTTAGTAAGTGGCAGAACTAGGATTATACTACAAACTTCTGGAATCTGGCATCTAACACATGGCAAGGATTCAAGAAATGAATTCGCTAGTATATGGAGTGATAACTTTTACAAGAGTTCTTCAAATATTGCAAAACTCTGTAATATTTTCTTGGTTATCCAAATTGAGTTAAGTAATATTCAGTATAGTTTAATTATATTTGGTTATGTATTATTGCTTTGGAAAATTGTGATTTCTTGTCTAGAGAGATTGCTTAGTGGCTTAGCCACTTGCTTGGCAATTGCAAGTCCTGAGTTCTATCCCCAGTACAAAAAAAGAGGGGCCGGGGAGATAGCTCAGTAGAATAAGCGCTTGCCTGGCAAGCACAAGGTCCTAAGTTCAATCCCCAGCCCCCCCCCCCCAAAAAAAAATCCCCAGCAAAAAAAGAAAAGTTTTTTTTACACTTGCAGTAAATTAAACTTATTAGGTATACATTGATTTGTAAGTCCACTTCCACAGGAAACCTAGATAAATTGGCTTTTGTTTTATATTTATTCTGAGAAAGGGAACAAAACACAAAAATAAGAAGACAGAAAAGTGCTGTCAGAAATTTGGATAAAGAAATTTCAAGTCAAGTTTTCATAAGCAAAATAAAAATCTCTTTCAAATGATGAAATAAGGACAAGTATAGAATAATTTAACATTTGAGCTAATGAAAAAAATTAATATGAAAACTCTGCTGGCATTTGTTGATAAGGTTACAAGTTAACAATGGCCACATTTCACTCACTAATTGATTGCTTGATACATTCATTCCCCATTTATATAGTTATTAAGTATAACTTTTGCTAGAAGTATAAAATTAACATATTTTCATAATTATGCTTAGATTTGTTATGTACTGCAAAGGATAAGAAAGATGTATTCAGGGCTGGGGAGATGGCTTAGTGGAATAAGTGCTTCCCTGGCAAGCGCAAGGGCCTGAGTTCAATCCTTGGTCCTGCCAAAAAAAAAAAAAAAAAAAAAAAAGAAAGAAAGATGTATTCACTAATACTTGCTAAGATGAGGCAATTCTTTGCAAGAGATGAAATTTCTTGCAACTTCTCTGCTAGCTTGCACACTACGTGGGAGGAGATGATAACTATCAAATGAGGAAATGAATTGTGTTCCTCTGTCGAAATTTCTGTTTTCTTTTAGCATAATGCTTTTGAGGCATGAGGACTCCATGAGTATATCTGAGCATTGTTTGACTGGGATCATTAAATATTCACCGAAGAAATGTTGTGGTGTAATGTTCAAGCCATACAGCTTGTAGATGGTTGACTAAAGACCTACATATTAGTCCTAAGATCTTATGTGGTCTTCTAACATGCTATGGTATTAAATAAGTCACTGAAACTCCCAGTGTCCTTCTTTATATACAGAGGACATTGCCAGTACTATATCTCAGGATAAATGATATGGGATCTTTTCTTGCCAAGGAAGCCATATTTGGGAAGCATAATTGGATACACATACACTTTTAAGCTACCCTGACTTGTTCTTATTAAAATGGTAAATTTTTCTGTGGCCTATGACATCTGCAAGTATACTGTTAACATAAGCTAAATAAATACTAAGTTTTCATTCCTATTTTATTTTGGTTATTGACTCCAGTATTGAGAGGGAATTACAGCAGATTGAAAACTGAAACACATAAAAGTATATAGAGAACGCTTTGAGGAAATATCAGCAATTGGCTTAAGCTTGTTTGCTTCACACCTGAGCTTTAGACCATGTTAATTCATAAAATATGCATGTGTATGTATGTGCCTTCATGGGCACATGTGGTCTGTGTTACATCCATCAGGATCCTGATCCTGTGTGATTGATCCAATCAATTTAGATTGAGAGTTTTCTAAAGGGTCATTGTAAAGGGCAGACAATGTATTAACTGTTTGTTTGTTTGTTTGTTTATTATCTTTTTGAGACAGGATCTTGCTATGCAGTTCAGGCTGCCTTGAGCTCACTTTGTAACCCAGGCTGGCCTCTAACTCATGATCCTTCTGCGTCAGTCTCCTAAGGGCTGGGATCACAGGCATGCTTTGCATGCCTGGCCCAGTGTATTTAGAGAGAATCAGATATTTAGAGACAGATATCATATCTCAGCTTTATTTATTTATCTATTTGATACAGGGTTTCACTAATCAGTTTGGACTCGTGGTGATCCTCCTGTCTCAGCCTCCCTAGTGCTGAGCATACAGGCATGTGCCAGCATGCCCAGTTCCAAGGCTGGCAGGGCATGCGGTACTGTGATCAAACCCAGGACCTTGTGCTTACCAGACCAGCACTTAAACTGCTGAGCTAGCTCCCCAGCCATCAGCTCTTAAATTTACAAGTTCTCTGATCTATGAGTAAATCACTTTAATTCTTCTACTGTCCATTTATCCCTCCATAATTGTGTACAATGAATTATGCAGAGCCATTGGGAGGATGAGAGGAAATGGAATGTAGACACAACAAGGGCAGACAGGATCCGAGGACTGGTTTGATGGCCCAGTCCAACTTTTCGGCCTTTCTGATTCTATCCTTTACCCTCCAGGTCTTCATTGTATTTCTTCTCCGTGCTGGTGCCCTGTTGTCATAGCTCTGGGCATCTTCGGCCTGGGATTATTGGTGATGGTCCTAACGCTGAACAGCCAAAGTAAGTGCTGAAGTAGAAAAATAAACACTGGGAGTGCATGTTTATAAACATAGTACCTATGTTTTGTTTGACAACTGTGAAACAGTTGTCAAAATCTTAATTCAGAATCTTAATTCAGATCCATTTTAGGCTAAATGTTTTCACAATAAGTGGGAGGAAGAATGGGATCATTGTGTCTGTCCTTCAAATGGATAGAGGCATGGGATGAAGATTGTACCAGGTAGAAGTTTTACATTTATTATTTTGTTTGATATAATAAATATTGTATTAATTGGTCACTGACTCCAGTTTCAAGAGGAAATTACAGCAGAATGAACACTGAAACACATAAAGTTATGTAGAGAACTCATTGAGGAAATATCAACCTATTGGCTTAAGCTTATTTGCTTGACACCTGAGCCTTGGGACATGGTACTAAATACAGAGAGAGAGAGAGAGAGAGAGAGAGAGAGAGAGAGAGAGAGAGAGAGAGAATGTTTAAATATTAGATGATGGGGAATAACATAATTTAAAGTGGCTGGGTTTGGTGTTGTACATCTATAATCCCAGCAGGAGATTATAGACATACAATAAGGCAGGAGGACTGCAAATTAAAGCCCAATCTGGGCAATTTAGTGACTTAATAAGAGCCTGCTTCAAAATTAAAGAGAAAAAAAATTAAAAGCCTGTGCATGGAACTCAGGGGCAAAACCCTGGGTTAAAGCCTTAGTACTAAAAGAAAAAAGAAAAAAAATCCCGACAATCATTTGAGCAACACGAAAGTAAAACAACAACAAAAATCATTTAGCTCTTCTTACATCATCATAAAGATGATTAAATATCATTTTAATGTTAGCAACCAGAAACATAACCTTAGTGAGTAAAACCTTCAGAACAAATTGTACTTTAAGTTTGTCACATGGTCATTCAGGAAAGAAGGAACATTGAGAGGAAAAGTGAGGACCAGAGTAAGCAGGACAGAGAGAAAAGGTGGCTGTCATCCCTCTGATGTGCCTGTACATTTAGGCTGTAGGTCTGAGTTGTGTTAGCTGGCCAGATTGCAGATCCCCTTTCAGAAAGCTTTTAAAGTGCTATTTTCTCTGAATCGCTCAGTTCATAACATATTTTTTACTTTTAATCTATCAACACTGTCGGCCTTTCCTCATGACTGGGAAAAGGGTCTCAGTACGGTGGCCAGAACCGGAAGAGGTTTCCTCAGAGCTCTGATCTCTGTGTAAAACTCCCTACCTTGCCCTTCAAGCTGGGGCATCTGCTTCGGCTGTACCATCAGGATTCCAGAATCAGGGCCTCTGGCCCACGGCACTTACTGCTGGTGGATTTCACAAATTTAATTTTATCTCCAGTCTTCCTAAGGTATATTACAGTTAAAAATAAAAAATTTAAAAGAAAAAGTTTGTAGACGTTGTGACGCATGCCTGTAATCCCAGTGTTGGGAAGGCTGAAAACAGGAGGATGACTATGAGTCTGAGCTGCACAGTGGGACCCTGTACCAAATACATAAAAAAAAAATAATTGAGACTGTTATGATGCAATCATCTAAAATAATCTTTTTGGTGGCCGCTCAAGACAAGGCAAATGTTAGAGTTTTTAAATAAAGTTAGGAAGTGTGGAAAGGTAGCAAGAATGGAGATATAGTGGAGGAATTAAGACAAAGAGAACAAATCACTGAGGTAAATTTTTACTAATATGTACTGAACCTTTAAATCAGGGACTGTTTTAGGTTATCTGTATTTTATTTATTTCATTGATATTACTTACCTTATTATTACTTTTATTTTGTGTGTAACCCTCAAAAAGCAAAATATAGATCAATCTTTTTTTTTTTTCGTATTTTAGGGAAGGGTCCACAGGGTGTTCAGGGTCTCCCTACTAGGTTGGACTTGTAGTGATTCGCTTGTTTATAGCCTCCCAAGAGCTGGGATTATAAACATGTGACACCACGCCCAGTCTCAGTCTCCATCTCAGCACACCCTGGGGGCAGGGACAGCACAGCAGGCCTGGGGATTGAACCCCTGGCCCCTGCGCCTGCTTGCAGGCACTTCAATCCGCTGAGCTGTTTGGCCAGCCCTTAGATCAATCCTCTTATCACAAGTTTCTGCATAATTCTTGACATTAAAATGTGCTGCAGGGCTATTAAATAATTTCCAAATTAAGAATTTCTTAGTAAATTGAGATCATTCCATCAGCTTTTGAAGTGCTATTCACTTCTTACTTACTGTTCAAGTTCCTAAAATATTTCTATTTTTAATCTATAAAAAATTATCTTTTGTTACAAAAGATTATTTGATTCTGTGTTCTAACTTCCTCAAAATACAGTAGAGGGATTTATAATGGAGCAACTGAATTTCAATTCAACTATGATTTAGTATTACAGATATCTGACCTCCTAAGAAAACAGCAAGCAAATTTTACTTACAAGGAAAATATGCTGGAAGGACAGCTCTTAGCCTGCCAGGGGGCACAAAAAGAAGCTCAGAATTCACAGAGGGAACTCGGAGAGAAGATAGATACACTTTGCCAGAAACTGGAAGAGGAATATAAAGAGAAAAAGGTACTTCACCAGCAGAACCTGGATCTCCAAGAAGCTCTAGCGAGAAAGGAAAACTATTCAGGTACTGGGAGAGGGGAATTGGAGAAGGGGTACTAGCAGATCAACTGTCCTGTCTTAAGTATTTTTTGCATCTATGTGTATGCCTAAAATTGTTATACTGACATAAGTGTCATTATTCACTTATAATTTTCTGTGGCCAGAAGTTCTCAAATTTGGCTCTTCCTTACTCTATGGTAACACTGGCTTCTTATTATTTAAGTACAGTGTTTGGTAGATTTAATGTTTCCTTCTTGAAAAGAAAAACATCTTTCTCTTTGAAACTCTGGTTTTCAGATTTATGTGGAAGGATCTTCCCATCCTCACTTCATGCCATAGATATTTATATCTTCCCATGCTGAAGTGTCTCAGTCAGATTGCTCTTCGTGAAGGATCTCTTCCTGTAACTCTACCTGTACTTCAGCATCAGCTTCATTCTTGACCCCATCTTATGAAGTATACTGCGTCAATCTAGAGTCAAAGGGGGAGGCTCTGTGGAAGGATTAGGTAGACAACGCTCCAGTTAGACAAGCAAATAGGAAGTGGGCTATTCTAGGAATTGCATTAATCTCAGCTATCTAAAGGGATTTAGAATCTAAGAAGCAGACAGAAATAGCATCTATGAAGTTCCAGTAAAGTCTGATATGATTAAATTACTGTCTCTGTAGTGTAACTAAATCAGGTATTTGCTTTCAGTTATAAGCAGAGTTCCAAGATGTGAGGTGGAGTACCTTTTAGGGATCCATTTTTTCCTATAAAGGACATGAATGAGTCCCTATTTTCTAAGTTGGTGACTTAGTGCCACCAATAAACAGATTTCTCCACCTTGTACAGCCCACTTAGTTTCAAATATGCAACTCCTTAGCATAAAGATTACATAAGAGGTCATACATACCCATCTCTTTATTTTATGCATGAAAACTGAGGTTGAGGTAAACGAAAATTAGTTTTGTTGTATGAATTTTTTTTTTCTTTTTGTCTTTTTGAGACAGGATCTCTCTATGAAATTCATGCTGACCATCAGCTCACTTTTTAGTGCAGGGTGGTCTCGGACTCACAGTGATCCTCCTGCCTCAGCCTCAGTGCTGGCTTTATAGATGCCACCACACCCAACTTTGACTTTGTTGTTTACCAGTCCTTTCACTATTTACAGAGCCACTTAAATCCAATATCAGTAGCAATTTTTAGACAAACTGATCTTTAACAAACGTCAAATACCTATTTAATTTTTGTAGGGAGGAAGCTGTCAGTGAAATAAATGAAATTAGCACCTCCAGGAAGGCTTAAGGGGAGGAGGTGTATGTATCAATGGCAGGCATGTTTATGTCAGAGCCTCACACCAATGAAGGATTTATTCCCAACGAGGCTGTAACAGCTGAACTTTTTCAGTTGAACTTTGATTAAACTGAGGAGTTAAATCTATATGAAGACTAACTGGATCCCTCTCCCAAAACGTCAGGCATCTGACACTCATCGAGCAGAGGAGAGGATCCGTCCACCACTGCTAGAGATGCCAAGTAATGGGATGCATTCCTTGATTGTGCAAAGGCCAGTGAGCAGAGCTACCCAGTAAGGTTCTGCTTCTCTCCAGCACCTTTGACAAAATCCTAAAAAGAATAGCGGTACTGAAACACTACGTGGAAAATTACTCCAGTTTTCATAAGTTTGAAGCAAGTTTTACAGTTTTTACTAACAACCTTAGTACACATAAAAGGAGGGAGAAACTGAGGTGTTACTATAAGCTTTGCTCGATGGGGCCAGGGAGATAGCTCAGTAAAATAAGCACCTGCCTGGCAAATGCAGGGTCCTGAGTTCATTCCCTGGTACTGAAAAAAAAAAAAAAAACAAAAACAAAAACAAAAAAACAAAAAACAAACCTTTGCTTGAGGTCATCAAACTAGTACGATGTAGAGGTATTACAGAAAGATACTTTAAAATTAGTGTCACAATTGGTTCTTCTCATCTTTTTTTGTTTTGGTTTTTGGTTTTTGGTTTTTTTGGCAGAACTGGGGATTGAACTCAGACCCTTGCACTTAGCAGGGAAGCACTTAATCTACCGAGCCATCTCTCCGGCCCCCTTGTATTGGTTCTTAAGTCATAAGTGCACGAAATGAGTCACTAAAAATGGTAGATTCCAGATTGACCCTAAGATTCTATATCACAATGCTTCAAGGAACACAGAAATATTTTCTCAAATGGCTTAAAATGAAAAATTGAAAATGCAGTGTTATAGTGGTTAAGCACCTAGCCTCCAAAAGTTAGATTGTGTAGGTTCATATTACCATTTTCCTTCTATCAAATGAAGACATTGAGTTGTGAGGAATGTTAAATGCATTCATGTATGTAAAGCACTTCCAACAGTTTGTAGCATGTGATAAATAATGTTTCTTAAATTATATATAATATATATTAATATATAATACAATACACATATCATAAAATTTGTACATATGTAATATATTATGCATACTATATGTAGTGTGTATGCATACCATGATTTGCGATGTCTTTTTTGCTTTGTGATAGCTGGGAAAATTTGCCTAGGCTATTTATTTATTTATTTATTTATTTATTTATTTATGGGGGGGGGGCTGGGGATTGAACTCAGGCCCTTGAACTTGCCAGGGAAGCGCTTATTCTACTGAGCCATCTCCCCGGCCCCTATTTCATATTAAAATTAATTCCTTTGTGTTACATATGAGGCAGAAGAAATTAAGAAGAAGGCTGCACTTACTCCTTTCAACTTGGCCTTTGTGTGAGCTTTCCCATTGATGGCCATCATTTGTTTCAGTGCCTTCTTATTTTTTTCCTTTCTAGTAAGGTCTACTCTTAAAAAATTATGTGATGATTTGGTATCATGATGAAAAATCAGATAAACTATGACCCTTCCACAAGATTTTAATTTTTTCACCTTTTGGGCACAGTGACTCTCCTGAAGGAGATTCTAAGTGTCACTGATATGTGGAGAAGATGAAGAGGGGGTGGGGCAGTACTGATGGGGATGGTGTTGGGGCCGCTGGAACCATCGATACCCATGTAGGAGCTGGCGTGCATTGCCTTGGCCTAAGTGTTAGGTTGGCTCTCTTGGACTCCCTTGGAGGATTTTTCCTGAAATCTTATTCTAACTGATATGCTAATTTCATACCTGTATCAGTCAGGGCTTTATGAGAGAAACAGCTATAATACAAGGAACAGATATAACACAAGATGTACAAATGTGTAAGGAATTACAAAATTGGATTGTGATATCAGCTGTAGAGTTGGGTGAGGTAGCGAGCAGAGGACCCCTGCACCCCAAGCCTGAAGGATTCCGACGCAAGGTCTGGAGCTCACTGCGCTCTTCCCTGCAAGTCTGTTATCAGTTGGCTGATGGGTCTGCGATGGAAGGGATGGAAGGCTGATGCGTCTGCAAAGGAAAGCTGAAGGATCCAAGCTGGAGGCTGAAGAATCTGTGCCGGAAGCCAGGAGATGATGGTCAAGCTGACTGCGAAGACTGGAATTCCTCGAAGGAAGTGGCACCCTGAAGCCTTCCTCAACTCCTTTATATACCCTTTTGTGCTGAGTCACTCTCGGGCGGGCCCTCCACACCCTAGGGTGGGCCCAAAGGCGTGGAACTGGTGGAGGAGATCCAGCCAAGTTGACACAGTGTATCAACCACTATGATACCAAACAGTAGCTTCTGTAGAGCAAATTTATCCAAGATAAATACAGTATTTTCCAACTATTTAACATTAAAGTTTGTCATACTCAAAAAGAAGTACATAAAGCAAATTTTAGTAATTTATTTTAGTGAACCCAAAATATTGGAAATATCAGTTAAATACTAATCGTTATAAAATTCATTAATGTGAAAATTTATTTTTTTTTTTCACCTTACATTTCAAAGCCAGATAAGTACCTTATACTTTGGAGCACTTCTTAGTGAAAATAAACCACATTGCAAGTGCAGAAATCGTATGTGTCTATTGTGCTGGTCAGCACTTGTCTAAAAACAGAAGGCATATTACTGAGGACCAAGTCACGTTTAATGATAAAATAGCTACTAAACAGCCAGTTTTAGATATAAATAGTGGCATACACTTGTAATCCCAGCTCTTGGGATGCTAGGGCAGGAAGGTCTCTAGGATTTTCAAAGCCAGCCTGAATTATAAAACAAGACCCAAGGGGATATATCTGTCTATCTGTCTGTCTGTCTACCTATCTGTCTGTCTGTCTATCTATCTATCTATCTATCTATCTATCTATCTATCTATCTATCTACCTACCTATACATATATAGATATATGTATATCTATCTACCTATCTATCTATTTATGTATCTATCTGTATCTTCCATTCTTCCAAATATAACTTGAAAAATAAATTAGATTATAAAATTATACCCCAACTTCTACTTTTTTGACAGAGGAAGTAAAAACACTAAATGAAAAGTAAATTTGGATTACTAAAATCAGATATTTTTTTCAACAAAAGGAGAAATAAGGATTCTGAGACTACTTAGGCAGTTGTGGAGCATGATAGTTTCTTTTAAGAAGAAATTATATGCTTAAAGAATGACCAAATGGCAAGATGACTGAAGAATTGTAGAAGGACTTCTGCTCTGATGTAACTCACTGATCAGATTTACTATGCTTCCTAGGTCCTTGTCCCCAGGACTGGATCTGGCATGGAGAAAGCTGCTACTTAATTTCCTTTGAACCATCTAATTGGGAATCAAGCAGAAAGAACTGCTCATCTTTGGGAGCCCAGTTGCTGAAAATTAATAGCATGAATGACCTGGTATTTATGCATGACTGGGGGTGGTAGAGTGTTGGTTGATGGTAAAATAAATCTGAAGTAAGTCTTGGGTGGAGAAGCACTTAAGAGTGAAAAATAGTTTTGTAACCTGGCCTGCTCACATGCATGACATTGGATTGACAGGCTACATCATAGTTTAGACTTCAGTAAACATTTCAATCAATCCAGGGGCTGGGGGAGGGGAGGCTGCCAAAGACCCTTCTGGGTCTTGTTACACTTGTAACTTTAATGCCACCTAAATTGCAGATTCCTGCACCATACTGTAATTCCATCAACTCAGACATTACTCTCCACAGGTTTTCATCAAGCAAACCACTTATCAGTCTAATGTTGCATTCTGGATGGGACTGTCTCTGACGAAGCCCGCATATTCATGGATCTGGGAGGATGGGTCCCCTTTGAGGCCCCACTTGTAAGTTTCTTTTTTTTTATGTTATTATCTTTTTTTTTCCAAAGTTTTATTGATAAACAGTAATGAGACAGTTTCAAATCAAATCGGAAGTACAGTTTCAACAAATAACATACTGAATATGTTCTTCTTAGTGGTTAAATGCTGTACAAGATGCAGACTTGAGATCCTATCTACAAACACCATTAGAACAAATCATTCTATTCATTAAGAGAATGCAACTATATATCTATCCCAACCACTTTGAATACACAGATACAAAATGGACATTCTTCTGTATACCCTATTTTTTCTAAGTTCTGTTATTGAATATTATAGGTGTGTAAACTCAGCAAAATATTCTAAAAGAGTCCAGTAGACCATAATCCCACTTGTAAGTTTCTTTTCGATGCCCATTCTGAGTTTTCTGTTTCTTGCCAAACTTTTTTTTTTTTTCCTGGTACCAGGGATCAAACTCAGAACTTTACACTTGCCAGGCCAGGCAAGCACTCATTCCACTACGCTATCTCCTGGGCCCTCTGAACATGCTTTGAATTCAGTGCCACATTCCACTGGTGTTCTTTTATTTTATTTTAAAGAGTAAAAAAAAAAAAATAACAAAACTCAAGACAGAAGCAGAGCAACCTGCAACAATACATGTGGTACAGAATTGCAAAAGAAGAATAGAAAATGGTTGTTCTATTATGCATTTTTATTGTCAAGTACATATACAGGACAGCTGAGATGATTGTATACTAATTTCCATCTATTTTTTTAAAAGTACCAGTTAGTATTTAAAATTTTCACTTAGATTAACTCTGTATGCCAATATCTGTAATCGGAGCAACTACAGAGAAGACAGCAATATATAATACAAAAACCATGGTGTTCTAATCTTGGCAGAATGAGGCTTGTAAATTTACACAGGTCTTGCTCAACTTTCTCCCAAAGGGATTTACAAACAGACTCTTTATACCTTCTCTGTAGTTTTTCTTCCCATCTTTATTTCTGATGTAAGGTTTAAGACAAATATAAATTCCTGACAGTAGGTGGACTGCTCATGTGATGGGGAAATTAACATCTTCCCTTTCCGCCTGTAGGTTTAAACTTCAACGGAATTACGCTCACATGTATCCCTCGGGTACTTGCGCATACATACAATTTGGGGAATTTTTTGCTGACAACTGCGCTTTAGTTGTAGGCCATGTATGTCAGAAGGCAGCATATCTGTTGTAAACAAAATGAATTTGAAGAAGTTGGAAGGAAAGAGGAAGATCTTTGAATATTTCCCGGAATTTAAGCTATTTTTTGTCTTGTGGGAGTAAACCATTGCAGCTTTGAGAACCGACAGTTACACACTGGCTTCAGAACTCCTCTGCAGATCCCCAAATGGGGCCCATTTCAGGCTCAGCCAGTGACTCCGGCTGTGGGACACCATAAGTCAGAAGTTGTGATTCTGTTTATCTACCCGCATGTTTTTGAAGAAGCCTGTCCCAAGCCTCCCTGCCAACCTTCGGGTCTTTCTTCCCTTTTCTATTTTAAAAAAATTGACTCCTCACCAAGCTTGGGAAGCTACCACGCTCATTCTTCTCTGCCTCAGTACCGACTTCTACAGTTCCAGAGAGGACAGAGCAATGTGCCCAACTACACAAGGAAGCCAGTGAAGGGGAAGTGTGCCCCAGAGCAGGAACTTGAAGGAAAAGAATAAGGAAAAGGCTACTCTGTAAAGAAGAACCACACATTCTCCACGTAAAAGACACCAGCTGTTGGCTTTTTAATAGTGGCCTGTCTCTAAACTCTAACACTGACGCCCCTTCCCCCTGCACATATATTTTGCAATGATTGTGGTGGCCCAGGAAGTGAAGAGAAACTTCATGGACTCTTCTGTGAACTGAGCCTACAATTCATTACCCATCTCTGAAGCTGTTATTATTATTATTATTTTTATCTTTTCGTTGCTAACTAGCAGCCTAATACAGTATTTGTGAGAGTGACAAAATGTGTCACAGAGGCAAAAATAGAATTTTTCTCTTAAAGTAAAAACTATCTGTAGACACTCCTCTCAAGTCTATCATGTTATGCTATAATTCAGAAATATACAAGGCCAAATATAGACACTCAATTTAAGAACAAGCTGAGCCGCTGAGCCACTAAGCGGGGCATACCAGTATTGCCGAGCACAGACAGATGGAATTAGAAATTCCTCTTCTATTTTCAGAAATCTTATTCTCTTTTCATCCCCTTCATGGCCAATCTAATTTAAAATAAAATTTTCTTTTTTTCTTTGCTGCACCTAACATGGCAGCAAATCATATATGTGATATATGTATATACATGTTTTGTGTTACACCTACAAAGACAAGAGAAGGTGTCTTTTGTTGCAAGTTGCTATATTAGTGATATGCAATAAACTGAATGTATTTAAAATATGTAATTAGAATCACTTACCACACATTAACATGCAAACATAATGCTTAGATGGGCATCTCTCCCACCACAGATGGTGATGCCCTGCCCCACGTTTGCTCCCCAGACAACCACCAATCACCTTGTACTTTACATCCTGGAGGGTTTCATAGGAATGGAATCATACAGTGTGCCCTTTCAGTCTGACTTCTTTCACCTTGTGTAGCTATGTTTGGTTTCATATATCTCCATCTTGTTGCTTGTACCAGTTGTTCATGTTTTGTTTAATATTGATTGTCCCTTTGGGGGCACACTACAATGTGTTATGTTTCTGTTTGTGAAATTTGGATTGTTTTAGCTTTTGAATAATTACAAATAAAGGTGCTATGAATGTTCATGTGGTTTTCTGTCTGACATCTTGATGGGCCTGCAGTGGTAGCCACTGCTCGCTGGGCTCTGAGATGCCGCCCAGAAACGACAAGAAGAAAGATGCCGGAAAGTTGGCCAAGAAAGACAAAGACCCAGTGAACAAATCTGGGGCAAGTCTAAAAAGAAGTGGTCTTAAGGCAAAGTTTGGGACAAGCTTAACAGCCTGGTTCTGTTGATAAAGCTACTTACAATAAACTCGGTAAGGAAGTTCCCAACTATAAACTTAACAACGCCTGCTGTGGTATGTGAGGAAGATCAGTGGCTCACTGGCCAGAGCAGCCCTTCAGGAGCTCCTTAGTAAAGGGCTCATCGAGCTGGTCTCAAAGCACAGAGCTCAAATTATTTATACCAGAAATACCAAGGGTGGAGATGCCCCTGCTGCTGGTGAAGTTGCATGATAAATAGACTCAAGCAGGTGTACATTTGGAAAAAATAAAATTTTATTATCAAGAAAAAATGTTCATATGAAAGTTGTGAGAACAGATCTTCTTTCGTCTTGGGTAAATACCCAACGAGGGTCACATCTGGGGCCTGCAATAAGTGTATGCTTAGCTATTTAGGGAACTGCTCATCTGCTGTCCAAAGTTGCATCCTTTTCCATCTCTGCCAGTAGTGTACAAATGATCTAATGCTACCATATCTCTGTCAGAACTTGGTATGGACAATCTTTTTTTTGAAAGAACTCCACCTCTTTGACTTTCCCTCCATCCTCTGGTCTGCTTTCTTTCTGCAAAAGTTCTATCTCCCATTTCTTATTATCTATATTTTATTTTCTTATTTAATTTATTTATATTTTGGATTATCCATATAAGAGAAATCATGTGATATTTAAAGTTGTGTGTCTGATTTGTTTCATTTAACATTATGGTCTCAAAGTGCATCCATTTTTCTACAAATGACTGAAAGTTATCTTTCTTTATGAAACAGTAACGCTTCATCGTTTATAAATGCTACATTTTGTTTATCCACATATGGATGGACATAAGGCTGCTTCCAATATTAGCTATTGTGAGTTAAACTCCTATAAACATGGGTGTCTGTGTACCACTGTAATCTATTTTTAAGTCTTTCAGGAAGATAACCAGAAGGAATAGCTGGGTTAAGTGGAATTTTGAGTTTTATTCTTTATTTTTAGTTTTTGGAGGAATATTCCTATTGACTTCCATAGTGGAGGTAGCCATTTATACATCCAACAACCATGTAAATGCGTTCTAAAGTGGATTATATGAACAATCTTATAAGGTTGTCCATTCTAACAGATTGGTAGTCATATGTCATTGTCATTTTAACTTGCATTTCCTAAGTGGTAAATGATCTTGAGCATCTTGGCCTTTATTGCTTACCATCTGTGTGTCTCATTGGATCAAGTACAGTTATATCTCTGCTCATGAACTCTGGAAAAGACGACCATGTTTGTATTTATGCGGGCAAAGACCGCCATGGTCATGTTTATCACCCAGTGCAGAGTTTACAAATGAACAAAAACTCTCATCAAATGCTTCAGTGTGTGAACCAAACTGTTCACAGAGAAAAGTATTTGTGAACCAAGGTTCTATTGTAATTGTACCTGTGTTTGGAAACTATACTGGTTTAAACCATTTTGTTTTCTTACTTTTTAGTTCGGAAAGCTCTGTATGTTTGGGCTAAAGCCCTTTTATCTGATATATGATGAGAAATTTTTAAAAGTCTACCATTTGTCATTTTATACTTTGAACAATTTACTTAGAAAAGCAAAAATCTGGGCCGGCTACAAAGCTCATCAGTAGAAAGTGCCTGCTTAGGCAAGCTTCAGCAAGTATGCAGGGACCACGGTTCTATCCCTGGCATCACATGCCATGCCAGCCCCCCACCCCACCCCAGTGGGCTGAGCTGGCCACAAAAAGAAAAGATCTTTGGTTTCGATGAAGTACAATTTCTGTTGTGAAGAACTTATTGTAGATATCTGAGTAGAAGGTGTTGTCTCCAGATTTAAATTGCAAATGAAGGAGCACTAAAGAGATGAATGGGTAATAAGCTAAATAAATTTTCAAAAAAGGACTTCTTGCAGAATTCCTTGCCTAACTCAAGGTCACAAAATGTTTTGCTATTCTTTCCACATTTTACAGTTTCAAATTATACTGAAGCCAATGACTTAGTTAGAATTCATGTGTGAGTTATGTACCGGAAGTTCTTTTTGTTTGTTTTGCATGTGGATAACCAGTTATTTCAGTAACTTCGGTTTTGAAAGAAGGCTCTTTCCTGACTGCCTGGCATTACCACCTTGGCCACCGAGCAGTTGTCTGGGTAGGCACGCTGCATTTTAAGACTACTTTCTGTTTCACAGATTATTATTATTATTTTTTTGTCTTTTTGAGACAGGGTCTCACTATACAGGTCAGGCTGGCCTTGAGCTCACTTTGTAGCTGAGGCTGGTCTCAAACTCACAGTGATCCTCCTGCCTCAGCCTCCCCAGTGCTGGGATTACAGTCGTGCATGGCACCACACCAAGCTCGAACACTTTTCTCACCCTGTAACCAGCACATCATTTTGAACACTACCCACAGTTTTATAATAAATCTTGAAATCATGTGAAGAGAAGTCCTTCAACTTTATTTTTCTTTTACAAAGTTGTTTGGTTTGATTTATGTCCTTGTATTTCCACATTAATTTTTAATTGGCCTATCAATTTTTCTAATAACTTTTCTGGAAAATTGATTATAATTGCCTTGATTCTATAAACACATTTCAGGAGAAATAAAATCTTAAAAATATTCATTTCTTTGACACCCAAAATACCTTTTTTTTCTTTTTACTTAGGCAATTTTTCATTGTTTCAAGCAATGTTTTGTATTATTACAGGCAATTTACAAATTTTATTGGATTATCATTATAGTTCATGGTTTTGAAGTTATTATTAATGTCACTGTCATTTGTAATATTTTTTAGAACAATAAATCATTTTTTATTAGGACTTGAGACTGAAGGGGGTTTATTTGCCTTTCTGGGGTGACAATTTTCTCCACCTCTACCTCTAGTTCCTTGTCTTTATGCACACAGCTGTCTCCTCAGCCAGTCTGCTTATTTGTTTGGGGCCTTGAACTCAGCCTGTCTCAGTTACTCTTCTCTCATTGCTGGGACAAATACCCGACACCCAAAATGAAGGAAGAAAAGGTTTATTTAGCTCCCAGTTATGGAGGTTTCAGTCCATGCTCAGATGGTCCATGACAGAGTGGCACATGGCAGAGGGCAGCAGTTCATGGCAGCGGAAGACAGCAAAACAGTAAGAGCTAAAGGGCAGGAACGGAGGCAGCGATGGCTACAGAGAGCAAGTGTGTCTCTCTTATGTTGCGTTTCAGCTCTCTGCCCTGGGCCAGGTGTAGCACTCACACCTATAATCCCAGCAGCACTCATACCCATAATCCCAGCAGCATTCACACCCATAATCCCAGCAGCACATATACCCATAATCCCAGCACTGGATCATGAATTAATCACAAAGTCCACCCCATGACTGCATGAGGCTTTGGGGGGGACAACTAGACACAAACCAGAATACAGCCCTTTTTATTATTTATATATTTTTACATACGCTATACCATTTATTTTGGAAGAGAGAAAATATAAAGACAGAAAAGTAGGGTTGGTTACAAGGAGGAAGAGAGAATATTTTAGGGAAAGTCAATGTTTATATTCCTTCTGTGGGTTTGGTATAAGTACTTGAAGCAGCTTAATTCCTTTTTCTACCCACTGTTCCTCCCCTCCTGTCCATCTGATGATACATTTTTTCTTTTTTCTTTTGAGACAGGGTCTTGCTAAATCACTAAGTTCCTAAATTGCCTAGAATGAGCTGGAACACCTGCTCTTCCTGCCTCAGCCTCCCAGAGTGCTGAGATTACATGTAAGCAATGTGGAGGAGAAGCTTGCCCTGTTGGAACTGCTCCTCCATTTTGTGTTCTTTCCCCTTTTTCCTATTTTTTATAAATTTGTTTTTGTTGCTTTTCATTTTAAATCTCTTTCTTCTCAGAAGACAGCATAGCCTACTTCTTGTGGCCCAGGGGCCATGCACAGAGAGATGGTACCCCGACCCTAAGGTGTGCAGTCAGTGGGCACTGTTCAGTTGTACCTCACAGTTGGGTGCAGAACACGCCTTGCTGGATGCATTGTGGATACCAGCCCTGTTTTCTGAGTACAGCACTGACTAGCTAGAGAGAGGGCTCCCCCACCCTGCCTGGGGTGTGTATTTCTCCTTGGCTCCTGACACTCAGACTGACACGTGAGTCTGTCAGCTAGCACAGTCAGCCTGCCGGCTCTTAGTGCTTCAGCTTCCCGCGGCAGGGCTTGCTGGCAGTAGGTCTT